AGCCTGGACCAATAGATGCTCCAGTTCTTCTGAACGTGAAATCGAGAACGATGTCCATCATTTGGCAACAGCCTGTGAAGTGCAATGGGGTTATTACCCATTATAACATTTACCAGCATGGCCATCTGTCCTTCACAGCCCCCGGAAATGTCACTAACTACACTGTGGTTCATCTACGCCCTCACACGGCCTATCAGTTCCAGGTAGAAGCCTGCACCTCCAAAGGGTGTTCCAAGTCACCAGAGTCTCAGACTGTATGGACACTCCCAGGAACACCGGAAGGCATCCCAAGCCCAGAGCTGTTCCCGTACACTCCAACATCTGTCATTGTATCTTGGCAACCCCCTACCCACCCCAGTGGCTGGGCTGGGAACTTTACAATCCAGAGACGAGTCAAAGGGAACAAGGAAGTTAGGAGCCTGGTGACTCTCCCGAGGAGTCGTGCCATGAAGTTTATTGACAGGGACCCTGCCCTCAGCCCTTGGACACAGTATGAATACCAGGTTCTGGGGAGCTCCGAAAGTGGAGGCACAAGAAGGAGCGAGTGGGTAGAAGTCACAACGAGACCCTGCCGGCCTGCTGGAGTGCAGCCGCCCAGGGTGCATGTGCTGGGACCAGATGTAGTCAAGGTAAGGTGCCGGGCCCTCTGGCTTCTCCGCAGTCCTGCAGCTGTGGGGACTTGTGCTGAATGCACTCCATGTTGAACAGAGCCATCTACTGTCAAGACTAACACATTCATTGTCTTGGGCGATTGCTGCAGAAACCGGGCTTTTTGGCCTTTAGCCCAAACTATCTTGAATTCAATGTCAGTTTTTCATTTCTCCCTGAATCCCCTTAATTATATTGTTGAGAGACTGCTATTTGCCTCGCACACATGAAATACTTTGATACCACTGTGGGATGCTTAGCCTCAGGACCACGTCATATTTAAACAGATCGGAAAATGAGAAGAGATTGGGGAGACTAATGGAAGCACTGAGAAGCATATTAACAAACAAAAGCGCCACACACTAATATTCTGGTGTTCTTTTAAAAAAATCAGAGAGTTGAAATAATGGGAAAAGAAATTAGGAAAATAGCATATTGCTGGGGTATCCAGAAAGCTCAATTATTTGCCTCATTCTTTGGGGATTGAACTCTAGAGGATGGGATAACTGCCATTGTTTTGGCTGGCATACAAACTTCATTCAAGGGAAATTAGTGTAACCAAACAGGAGGGAGTTTTGCAGCTTGGAAGCCTCTTTTGTGTAAATACACACATGCTTTCATGGACTCAGTCTTGTACCACTGCCAAGAGCCTTGGTGCAGGAGCTTGCTCATCAGAGCACAAAGCAGAGGCCATTTGCATAACAGCAAAGTTCATCTGTCGGAATTACTGCTTGGATCTAGGCTGTGTTCTCTCTCGCCAATGAAAGGCAGACACTCGGTGATGCTAGATAATTTAAATTTTTGAAGAAAATTTGTTTAACCCACAAACTAGAAGTGAATTTATCCTTTTTTAAAATGTAGTCTTTAAAAATTAAACACCCAAAATAATCTTAATTATCTTCTGCCTGAGAATTGTTAAAGAAACACAATTTTAAAGTTTTGGTAAAAGTAAAGCATGTGGAATTCAGTTGATTTAACACTAATAGAACTTAATTTTTACATATAGCATATATGGTATTTATTGTATACACTGGAAAAATCATAAGAACTTGCTTCAGTCGAGTAAAATAACAAACAAGCCCAGAATGAGTCGTCATTGCAGAACTGACAAAACTCTGAAAGAGCTCTGTGGGGCCTTGTCGCGGTGATGTTAGATGGCATGTGTCATGGCATACCCAGTCCCTTCAAAAGGACAACAGCTACCCCACAGGCATTCCTCTGATTCTTTCTATTAAAATTCTAAAAACTAGGCATCAGCGATCATAGTAGATCAGAAAAGAAAAAATAAATACATGCATGATTTCAGAAGGTAACAATGTCAGAAGATAACAGTCTACTTGAGTGGGTCAAGGACACTAGGATCCCAATATCTGGAAGGAGGAGTTAGTTGGCCTTTATTTCCCCCTGTGGGGGCTGGACATCCAGGAGAGGGAGGCGGGAGTACATGTCCTATCAGGTAGCTAGGGAAGGTTTGATCAGCTTGACTAAGGAAACTGAGTCTCGTGGGTCATCACCTCAGGCCCACGAAAACCATGGAAACCCCAGGCCAAGCTTTGTTTTGCTTTTTGTTTTTGTTTGTTTGTTTGGTTGGTTGGTTGGTTGGGTTTTCAAGACAGAGTTTCTCTGTGTAACAGCTCTGGCTATACTGGAACTCTGTTAGTAGACCAGATTGGCCTGGAACTCACAGAGATCCACCTGCCTCTGCTTTCCAAGTTCTGGGATTAAAGGTGTGTGCCACCACACATGGTCCCAAAGTTTTTAGAAAGATATTGAAATATAAAGGAAGGGCAACCAAGTGATAACTTTGGCCCTCACACCTTCATTGATTCCCATTTTTTAACTAGGAAATGAAATTTACCAGTGAAAAGAAGCATGAGGAATACTGAACTAAATCTAGTGTTTCATGGAGTATATTTAAAAGTTGTTTAAGGAACACAATTTTGTGTTTGTATTATTGGCTCATATTGTCTTGAAATGTCTTGAAACTTCACAGAAAGTGCATTTTCCAGTGGGGTTGCTTCTGGTAAACAGATACATGCCTGGAAACTGTGACTCCTCTCTACAAGGACAGACTTGGAAATCAAAATTGCAAATGGATAAAACATTCATGAGGAATCACAAGATAGTCATTAATGCATGGGTTAAGAAAGCCATTCAATATTTACCATGCACTACTGTTCTAAGTAAATTGTCAATAATATTAACAATGACAATATGTTTCACTTCTCACATTCATGGAAGTATATTTATGAATATCTCCTTTTGACACTGAAGACAGAGTAGGGCCAAAAAAAAAAAAAAAAAAAAAAAAAAAAGCCCCTCACCTCATGGAGCTTGCACTGTAGACAAATAAATGTAATAGATACCTGCAGGTGGCAAGGACTGGGGGTGGGGAGCAGAATCGGGTTAAAGATAAACAGGAAGCAGGAGTCGGTGGGGTGGTAAACGTTGGAAGGTGTTGAGGGGCTGTCTCACTGATCTTAGTTCACGTTGTGTTGCTAGTAACAGGCCAAGTTAGGGTTAAAGAGAAGAGCTTCGCTGGGCTGTTGGTTTTGTAGCTTCCTGGATAAGGGGCTCCCATCCAGTGATGTGCTTTCTGTGAGGCGCATCCTAAAGCTGTGTTGGGCCCCATAGCTTGAGAGACAGGGATCCTGTAGTTTCCTATGTCCCTGCTTTGGTCCCTCTCCCTGTTATAAAGCCACCAGCATTCAGTCATCATTGGGCTGGACCCTCCTGACCTTGTCTAGTCCTGACCCTACCCAAGGCCCTGCTCTAAACACCAGCCAGATAAGTTTTCACCTCTTAATCCCTCACATGGGGGGATTAAGTTTGAAGATGAGTTTTTGGAGGGATAACTTGTATTCAACGTCACCACCTCTGTTTGTCTTTGTTATGTGTCCTTTGCACTGTACAATGTCACCTGCAGGAGCTGCTGTCCAACTGGGACCGCAAGAGAAGTAACTCAAATGGAGGCAACTTGAAGACAAATACAGAGTAACATATTGATAAGTATAAAGAGAGTTGCCACCCAAGCCCGATCTAAGAGACTCCAGTATGCGGATGACACACTGAAGTTATACTTGGCCTTCTGTGTGAGCTCAGGGTGGCTAGAGTAACTTAGAGAACCTGTGTCTCAAAATGTGCAAAGAACCTGAGGGTGTGACTCAGTGGTAGAATGCTTATCTGGAATGTACAAGGCTCTGAGCTTAATACTTGACTACTAAAAAAAAAATACTTATGGCTTGGTAAAGATATATGTATTAAGAAAGGAAAACAGGAGCACACAGTAGGTCTAAATCATATTCTTAAAATCTGATTATCAGAAAAAAACTCAAAGTAATTATGAAAATTATAAAAATGAAATTCATGTACTTCCATGAGGTACTTAATTTCCTGAGAAGACCACTTCCTTTTAGAAAGTTGGTAGACAGTCTCTACTAAGACTGAAAAGGACAGTTCAATAAAGGTATAGAATAATTGCATATTTGAATATCTAAAATTCCTGAATAAAATATTAGCAAATTGAGTCAAATACAATATTAAAACAATAATATAATGGGACACATCTGATCTAATTCCAAAAATGTAAGGCAAGTTCAATACCCTGCCATCCGTCAACATGCCTCTTACATCAACCAATCAAGAAGAGAGCCGCCTGTATTTCCTTTTTAACCCAAAAGGACTTATGGGCTCGAGAAATGGCTCAGCAGTTAAGAGTACTTACTGTTCTTGCAGAGGGCTCCAGTTCCCAACACCCACATCAGGCATCCCATAACTTCTTATAATTCCAGTTTCATGGGGTCCAACATCATCTGGTCTCCTTGGGCACCTGAACCGGTGTGGTGTACATACACTCACACAGGCACACAAAAAACAAAAACAGTCAATAGTTTTAAATGGTATTATAAGATTTGGAAGCCACTTCTTAGCAAAATAAAGTAAAATCAGACTAAAAGGAAGGATTTTAAATAGGATTCAGCCAACATACAGATTGCCACACTAAAGCACTTAGCACAACTGAGAAATAAAAATAAAATGCAGAAATCACCAAATTGTGTATTTGTGCAGCAGCAACAAGCTTTCTTTAATGGAGCCTTCAGGGGCCTCTAACCTTGAACCTTTGTCCACTAAGCTCTAATAAAACGTAGACAGAAATGTCCCACCTGATACAATGGAATTCATAAGATGTTATTTTGTTTTCTAATGTTAAATTTATTCAAACCGAATGATCCTTTGATTGCACTTTTAAAAGCTTTCTCCATGTTTCTTAACCTGAAACCAGAATGTGTTATTGCTTTATCTGTTAAACTATCCACCAGCTTCAGAAATTCCATTGTGAATCTCAGAAAACACAAATAATGGTCACCTGTCCCTGGCTTTGTAAAACAGCCTCTTTGACCCACAAGGTAAAGCGAGGAGCCCTGAGTTCCATTTAATTGAGTTATAAATGTGCAAGCGCTCACGTCCTCATGCTGCCCTGTGATGCATGTGGATGTGTGAATTTCCTCCCTCCGTGTGTTTGCTCGGTGTCCTCCAGCACACCCACGGTGGAAATGAATCACCACGGTGTGTATTAGTCTGACAGTCTTAGAAAGCATCACAGCTGAAAGTCAGGCTCAGGAAGCAGCCCCCACTTGGCTCCTAGCATTCAGCTCATTGACCCCAGTCCTTCATGACCGTCTAGTGTACAGAGCTCAGTTGAATGTAGGCCTTCAGAAAATGACTTCAGGGTGAATGAGGCAGGCAAAACTCTAGTCTTTGTGAACTTCAGTTGCTGTGTTCCTGTGTTGTCACACTGATGCTATTGGTCTTTTGTTTCAGGTCACCTGGAAAGCCCCACTTATCCAGAATGGAGCCATCCTGAGCTATGAGATCCGCATGCCCAACCCTCTCATCACAATAACCAATGTGACCTCCGTGGTGTCCAGTCATCTAATCAAGCATCTCATGCCTTTCACTAATTACTCAGTCACCATTGTTGCTTGCTCTGGAGGTAATGGGTACCTAGGAGGATGCACTGAGAGTCTACCTACCTCTGCTACTACCCATCCAGCCCTGCCTCAGGAACTGGCCCCACTGTCCACTGTTCCGCTAAGTGAATCTTATGTTGGGATTTCTTGGCAGCCACCATCCAAACCAAATGGACCAAATTTGAGGTAGAGAAAGTGATTTTGCTCTGGGGTTTATTTTAGCTATATCATTTCAAGAAGGAAGGAAGCAGGATTTTATTAACATCTCAACATAGAATTAATTGCATACTGGATACCATACCTACTCCCACAAATTCATAATAATCATACAATATCCCTCTGTTCTTAACAATTGTATAATAGAACATTGTATATCTTGATTTAAATGGAACCAAAGGTGCTGGTCATCAAGAAAGAGTGAGTATCATGTTGAGACAGACTAAAATCCTAACATTTATCTCATAGCTAAAATTTCCCTTCATTATCCTGCTCTTTTCAAAAAATACTTTTATTCTGTTGGCAGCTCTGGTGCGTGTCCTGTGTAACACGGTGGGACAACTGTGTCTCTGAATTATAAACTTAACCCTGCGTTTGTTTCTCTATCACCACTGTCTACAGACTTGTGAAGAATGTTCTCAGAGATAAGATGGAGGCAAAGAACTGTGGCTCTCAAAATAGCTGTAGAGCAGCCAGAACTGAATACTTGGCAGAGAAAACAGGGGATAATATCATCATTGTTTATACAATTTTGATGGAGTCTTATGAAATCATTAACTTGATAAGATTTTTATAGTCCTATTTTGTGTGAAACTTGCAACAAATATTGAGCAAATCTGACACAGAAATCTAAAATGTCACCATTCCCACTGGTGATCAAAAAAAGTGAGTGTAAATGATAATTTGCAATTAACAGACTATATGATAGTTAAGCCAGGAAAAAAAAGGTGTTCATCTGGAAAGATTTCATAATTTCACTAAGGTATTATTTATGCTTTCATGCATGTCACACAAGTTCTACTAACCTACCTGAATCTCAGTAATAATGTTAGTTGAGACAATCATGATATTCCTGCTTGTCTTTTGTTTTAGATATGAGCTTCTGAGACGCAAAATCCAGCAACCACTTGCTTCAAATCCCCCAGAAGATTTAAATCTGTGGCACAATATTTATTCAGGAACTCGGTGGTTTTACAAAGATAAGGGTCTTAGCAGGTGAGATTACAAAAACTATAAAAACAAATGCTGGCATTTAGTTTGGGGCATGTTGAATAGTTCAAAGTCCCCCAGCGTCTTCATCATGTGAACCTGTTATCAGTCACGCAGTAGAATATGTTCAGTTATTATCTGTGGCATTAATCATCGAAGTGTAGCCGAGGCGTGTGCAGTGTTTGCCGTCTCAACGGCGTGCTTGAAATAAGCCTTTCAAGTCAAACTTGGAGATGTGTGAGCCCCAATCTACTACTGACTTTGTCACAGCTCTATCTAGACGTGAAACTTAGTAAAGGAATTTGGAAGTACTGAATACACAGGGAACTGTGGAGATCAGTGGGTGCCTCCTGTACTTAGCTGGGTCTGGGGAGATAACGGGTTATAAGTCACTGAATTAGTGAGACTTGAAAGAGTTGAATCTAGAGTTTAAAACATGAGCCAGTAGGTGATATCCACAAAAAAAAAAAAAAAAACACATACCACATGATAGAGTTCGATGGAAACTTTCTTCTAAGGAAGCAGCTTCGTGAGCTGAGGCGAACCCTTCACCATCTCTGGGGCTCCCCCTGCATCATGTGTCATTCTGTGCTTCCTAAGGACAGTGGGGAGAATTCCCATCTCTGGTCTCATTCCTCATCAGGCCCCTTCCTGCCATCAGAATCAATCATACTTCAGGTCTTGGCTAGAAGGTTCTTCCTCCAGGAAGCTGCCTGTCCCCTCTCTTGCTGGTCTGAATATGAGTGGAAATCAACATTCTCATGGCAGCTATTTCTATAAGGACTGTGCAGATAAACAAAATTCTGTTCTGGGATCCAAGTAGACATCTTAGGCTAAATGTCCAGGATATTTTTTTTCCACAGTGGATCTTGAATTGGTGGTTTCTGTTTCTATTCAAATAACTGAGGGACTGGAGAATAAGCTCAATTGTGCTTGTCTGACTTGAGGGAAGCCACAGGTTCAGTCTCAAGCAAGGAGAATAATCGGGGTGTAGAGGCAGGTGGTAATAAGAGGGTCAGAAGTTCAAGGTCATCTTCAGTTATCTAATAAGTAATTACTTACACCCTCATAAAGAGCTTGGAGTTAAAAGTCAGGACCTGTTTTCTGTTTCTTGTTTGTTTGTTTGTTTGATTTTGTGTTGTTTTTTTTTTTCAAGACAGGGTTTCTCTGTGTAGTCCTGGCTGTCCTGGAGCTCCCTCTGTAGACCAGGCTGGCCTAGAACTCAGAGATCCACTTGCCTCTGTCTCCAGAGTGCTGGGATTAAAGGCTTATGCCATCACCACCTGTGTTTTCTGTTTCTTAACATTCATCTTAATGTGAGACCATTCCTTTCTTTATTGGTCTACCCCCTGTAAATCCAAAAATGTTCAGGTTACTTTTGCTCAAAGTAGGCCGTCTTGCCAGCCTGAGAGGAAGCTGTAAATTAGCCCTCAGAAGGGCTCAGGGTTTTACTGATAAAGGGGAATAAGTGTGTACATTGCTTGCTCAGGTACCGCCTTCATCTACCCTGATAGCATCCAGGGCTCCCCTTCCCACTGGTGACCCGCAGCTCCCAGCACACCACGAAAGAACCAATGTTGTCCCCTATATTGTGATACCATAATGAAACTTTCCCCTGAACCTACCTAGGAATCTGGGGAAATTGCCTCTGGGACCACTTCCCATCCCCCACCCTACCCCACCTCTGGCTCCATAGATACTAAAAACCGTGGTGGATGCTAAAGTCCTTGATGTAAAATTGTGAAGTATTAGTATATAACCCACCACAGGCTGGCATATGCTTACATCAGCTCTGCACTGCTTACAATGCTTAGTAAGGTGTAAAGGCGAAGAGCGTTGTTTAGGGAACAAAACAAGAAAAAAAAATGGTTCAGTACCAGATGCTGTTATTTTTTTAAATATTTCCCATTCATGGTTGGTTGAATCTGAGGATGTGGAACCCCAGGGCACAGAAGGCTGACTTTGTTTATCCTGTTGATTTATTCATTCGGCTGTTTTGTTGTTGTTTTTAATTGAATCCATCTCCTTTTAGAAGGCATACATAACTACCTATTCTCCCCAAATTTCCCTGTTCCTTTTTCTATTTATGTAAATAAACAGATCACTGAAGTGTTTTTTCACACTTTTTAAAAAATATTTTTTTTTATTTCATATGTATGGGTGTTTTGCTTGCATGTGTGTCTGTGCACCACATGCAAACAATGCCCATGCAGGCCAGAAGAGGGCATTAGATCTCCTGGAAATATTGTCACAGCCATTGTGAGCCACCATGTGGTTGCTGGGAATCAAACCGAGGTCACCTGGAAGAACAACTGGTGCTTTGAAGCCCTAAGCCACCTCTCCAGTCACCCCACCCGATGCCATCTTGTTGTATTTTTATCATTATAGACACATTTAGAGCAGTGTTTAAGTGACAATTCTTCTGATACAAATTGTATAGCAAAGAATGACGGGGCCTCCCTTTTTAAATATAGTTATAAAATTAAAAGGAAGTTGGAGTTATTGCCTTGTTCAAGTGGTCTGTTTACTAAAGTGTATGTATTAATGCAGAGAACAATAATTTAAGCAGCAATGGCATACTTTTCTATACAATTTTTATATCCTGAAATCCAGGACTCTCTTATAGTAATTTTGTCTTCTATATCTTATTATGGAATGCAGGTTATCAAGCCAATTATCCAGATAATTTAATTCAAACAAAAATACCTTTTGTTTTTGCAATCATCTTAGGATGGGTCATTGGTTAGCACACTTCCTTGTTCCCACAAGGATGTGAGGAGCTGAGCTCCAGCATGTCACATGAGGTCTCTCAGATCCATTGTGTGAGACTATTCAAGCTAGCTTTTGGTTGTGGCAGAGATGAGGAAGACTTAGTTCAGGAAGCAGCTAACTAGACTGCATCTTTAAGAGCATCATTTATAGCAGTGACAATATTGAAACATGAATTCTGTTGGGATGTCAATAAAGTTGACACAGATTTGATTTTGATGAAAATAACCCAAGTCATTCTCAGCCATATTGAAGAGTTTTATCAGGTAAGCAGAGAAGTCAGAGCTTTTCAAGCTATCCGCCTGTACACCTTTAGAGCCAAAATAGCAAAATTTCACTGGACAAATGCCTCCACCAGACTGAATACCACTTGACATCAAGAGCTAGAGCAAATCACACCTCCTCATTGATGAGGTTAAACTTTATGGTCTCAATGGTTTGCATCCAAAGAGAAGGGGGAAAAAAGAGTAATTTTAGATGAACCAAGTCCAAATTTTCTCATTTCAAAACATTCCCATGAGGCTAGTGGGTAACTCATTGAATAAAGACCTTTCAATACAAGCGTAAGGACCTGACTTAGATCCCCCAGAATCTATGCATAAAAACCAGGTGCTGCAGCCTGTGCCTGTGGCCCCAGCACTAGAGAGATAGAGACAAGAGGATCTTTAGGGTTTGTTGACCAGGTAATCTAAATGAATGAGTTCCAAATTCAGTGAGTAACCCCATCTCAAAATTAAGGTGGAGAGAAACTGAGAAAGATAAACACTCAATACCCATCTCTGGCCTCCTCGAACCCCAGCCCTCAGGGTTCACATGGAGTCACACAGACAACAGAAAACATGCCCCTAAGAGCTTGCACATGCTCTGACTCCGAGAGAGCAGACAGCAAGATCCTTATTCTTTGTGTCCAGCAGGTGACTGCTAGCATTTAGGAAAGAAGGTTTGAATAAATGAATGAATCAATGGCTGAAGTGTTGCTGATCACTAGAGCAAATACTATTTGTTTTTGGTGTATTTTTCCCAAAGAAGACAGCAGGGATCATTTTTCTGTTGGACACGAATATGGTTGGGTCACTAACCTACCAAACCCCATGTGCCCTGAAATCTGTGAGGGTGACTGATTCAGGAACTGTGAAACACCTGTTCATGTCCTACAAGCAACTAATAGATAAGCAGATGGGGCCTGCATCAACCAGACAGAATCTAATGGGTGCTGTTTTGTTTTTGTTTTTTGTTGTTGTTTTCAACTAAACAGAACTCATTTTTTCATTTGAGTTAGAACAGCTGGACTTTGAACTGAGAATTATTACATAGTAAGACTTTTAGCATGTGCTATTTTGCACAAAGGAAAATGTCATCATTGTATTGTCACTATTTGCTTCTGGAATAGCTCTTGTTATGAGTATATGGTGTTGTCTGACCCATTCTCCTTATGTAAGCTTTATTCTGTTATTAAGTAGAATGCCCTGTGTGGCATCAACAGTTTACTGAAAAGACAAGGTAGAGAGTGCATAGGAAAGCTGCTTCCATCCAACTAACTCATCCTGCTGTCTGTGCAGGGGTGAAATGTGAGCCACACAGTCGTATATACAAGTTACAAGAGTACACCATTACTAAGTCAAGCCTGTTTTTGCTGGAGACAGAGAGCTGGCTAAGGGGTTAAAATGTGTAGCACTCATTTAGATTCTCAGTACCCATGTTAGATACCTCCCATCCTCCTGTAACTCTAGATCCATGAGTTCCAACACCTTCTCCAGAACAACACCTGCACTCACATGTGCACACACCTACATACACACACACACATACACACACAAACACACATACATACATACACATATATACATAGTAAAAAAAATAAGTCTCAGACTCACAAGGTTGAAAGTACAGACATAAAATACAGGGATTTAATTTTTTAATATGTTTTGCATTGAAAACTGCACATTTTAGTTTTTCACTTAGTAGGAAAGAGATTTTTATTAAAGGTTAGAGAACATGGTGCTGAAAAGATGGCTTAGCAGTTAAGAGCACTGACTACATTATAGAGGACCTAAGTTTGGTTTAGAGCAGCCAAGTCATGGGGCCCAGAAATCCGTGTAACTCCAGCTCCTGGGGATCCAATGCCTTCTTCTGGCCTCTGAGGACACCTGAAAACACACATACATTAAAAATCTTCACAATTCTTTTTGAAAGTTAGAGAAACAACCAAAGGCAAACATGAATGCATGCTGAGCTCTCAGTTAAGGGAAACAATGGATATTAGAAAGACCGACTCCTCAGAAGTGACCAAGAGGTCTTCTTCTCAGTCATGGTGTTCTGTTTGGTTTTTAATCTCTAAAACAGAGAAAACATTTAACTATTGGAAGTAGATGAACCATAAAGGCAGTTCAACTTGAGAAGTTTTAGCACCATCTTAAAGGCCCACTTTCCAATAGCATGTATCTATAGGGTCCATGCCTTCTGTCCTTCTGTGTTCCATCTATTGTGTGTGTGTGTGTGTGTGTGTGTGTGTGTGTGTGTGTGCATGTGTGTGAGCATGTGTGTGTTCCATCTATAATATATATGGAATATATTATTTATATGGAATACAGGTTGCCTGATCTACCTAAATTGCATATTACATAAAATTATAAAATTCCTACAAGTATCATAGGAGGGAGGCCCTCCAAAATTTGTACACAAAGAAAAATATTAGTGCTATTAGCTTGACACAGCGAAGGGCTAAAACCATGGTGTCATTTGGAGTCACGGAGGTTGTCAGTTGTATCATAGCATCAACATGTGGAAGAAAAGCTTAAATACTGTGGCAGGAAAGACTATGCCTCTAGTATCTAGCTAAAGGAATAAAGCAATTTTATGACTTGAAATACAATTATAAGTATTTTACCCAGGGACAGAGCTAATGAAGCCAAGGTCGCTGGTTCAACTCCCACGTGAGCCATTAGCTTCCCTTCCTTCTCTTGTCTGAGACCCGACACCCTCTTAACCCTGACTCACCACCCTTCACATTCATCCTGGGGTCACAGAGGAAACCCGGCAGGCAGTCTGGATGCAGAATTAAATTGTCCCCTCCCCTCAGCTAGAAAGGTATCAAAGGTCAAGTCCCAGTCATATGACATCATCCCAACAGGGGCAAAGCAGATTATCCCTGGATGGTTATTGTTATTATTATTACTTTCTCATCACACTGGCAGTACCCAATGCTGCAGCCCACTAGTTCAGAGTGTCTTCAATCAGACTGCCTGCATTTGAAGCTCAGCTCTCCTGAGGAGTCCAATGACTTGAACAAGCTACTTAATACTTCCAACCTTATTTTCCTCACTTTCAAAATCCATACTATAATAGCACTTTATAGAGTTACTGTGAGGAATGTATGTGTGATGCCTGTAGAAGTATCGGGGCCACAGGAAACTACTGTGGTTGTTGACTTTCGGTTGCCTTGGTCCTGCAGGCTGGTTAGTTCTTGGTGAAGAGCACGTAGACAGGTATTTTCCCAGGGTTGCTAACGTCACATTCCACAAGCTGGATGGCTAGAAACAACACACGCACAAAGGGTACTCTGTTCTAGTTCTCAGAGTTAAGGTCACCAAACAAATCGTTTGCAAGGCCAGGCTCCCTCCACGGGCTTCAGAAAGCGGCATCTTTGCCTCTCCTAACTTCTGACGGTCCCAGCATGCCTGTGCTTGAAGGAACATCTCTCCTGATCCTCCCCCTGTCCTCATGAGCATAGTCCCCTTGCCTGTATCTGACATGGAAAGTTCTCTCTTTTCTCTTACAGGATAGCAGCCATTGTATTGCGAGTGCTCCCTGAGCTGGGTGACCTCTTCTAACTCGTTAGATGGACAGACACACAGCTTGATAATGTCTCTCTTTGGGGGGGGGGGGAGGTAGTAAATGACTCAATCCATGAAATGAAGAAAGGGAGGGAGAGAACAAAAGACAGAGCTCTGGGAAGCAGGAGGAAAGGAAGAGCAGGCAGGCAAGGAATGAATACCCAAGACGGGGATGGTGCTGTAGAGCAATGAAGCATCCATTTCCATGGTAGCTCTTGTTCAGAGACTTAAACCAATAAAGGAGCCTCCACCCCACCCCCATAGCCCTCTGAGCCATTCATTATCTGTGGCCGCAGCAGCAGCAGAGTAGCATCCTTTCCATGACTGAGGCAGAACTCCAGGAAAATACCTTTGGGTCCTAAGTGAGGGATAAGGAGAAGCAGACAGAGCTCCACCTGGAGGTATGAAAACACTCTAAAAATCCTGACTTGACTTTGCTTGGGCCATTTAGTGAAGTTTCTGGAAATGGCACTCTTCCCTTTGTCCTGTGACCAGCTGGGGCTATGACATATTGAGACTTTGGGCCTGGCTGTGAAGGTTTCAGAGGCTAGATACCCTGGGAACACATAATGACCCCACATTAGAAGAGGATTTGAAGTCAAGGTTGGGACAGCCACTTAGAACTCAATGTGTCTAAGCAAGTATCTCCAGATTATACAGATTATTGTAGAGTTGGGGCCTGATTTTGTCTATAAATAGTATTTTCCTAGTTAGACAATTTAGAACCAAAAGATAAAGCTACGGGGTTCCTGCTTGAAAGAAGCAGAGATGAAGAATTAACGATTTAACTTGTGCCCAGGGAGTGCCTATCGCACTGTGTGTCCATGTTTCTCCTCTGATGAAGTGTGGCTCCACTCCCTCTGTATCGACTCAACACTCTGGGGCCTGGCTACCTCGCTGTCACCAAGCTCTCCGAGGAGCAATCTTGTGTACTCTGCTCACAATTGAGATTTCATTTAAGCATTTATCTGCCAGCCAATGAGATGCTAGGGACAGAGAAGAAGTGAAGGAAGAAAAAGATGATGGAGTCTGATATTTGAAAATGGATGAGTTTCCCTAAAGAAGAGCATAAAACTCCCTGGATGGTATTGGGACAGGAAACTGGCAAGCTGCCAGCCCTGTAATTACATCTCGGATTGAGCCATAATCCTCACTGCTTCTGAAAACAGTAAGAACGAGGAAAATGATAACCTGAGTTTACTTAAAAGACTGACATTTGCTTATGGCTTCCAAATCAAATGTTTTCCTGACACTCCGGTTGAGGCTGGAGAGTTACGGAGATAATGGTACGTTTGTGTCAGAAGAAAGGAAATAATGCATTTCCCAGAAGGAAAAGGAAACTGAACATTTTGTGGAAAGGAATCCTGTATTTTGTGAGAAAAAAAAATAAATGAATGCATTTTGTCTTCTGTAGAACATAACTTATATGCTTTTTTTGTTTGTTTATTTTAATAAAACCTCCAGGTTTACCACGTACGAGTACAAGCTCTTGGTACACAACAGCGTGGGCTTTACACCAAGCCAAGAAGTGACAGTGACCACCTTAGCAGGCTTTCCAGAGAGAGGAGCCACTGTCACCACGAACGTCCTTAACCACACAGCCATAGACGTGAGATGGGAGAAACCGAGTAAGACACTCTGCATGTCTCTCTTTCCCCCGGTTTTAGCACTCTTGTTACTGTTCTGGTGCTGTGATGAAACACCATGACCAAGGCGACTTAAAGAAGGAAGTGCTGATTTGGGATTAGGGTTCCAGAGGCTTAGAGTCCATCGTGGCTAGGAGGCATGCCAGCAGGCAGCATGGCTGTGACGAACTTCTCCAGCAGGCCACACCTCCTAAACCTCCCCAAACAGCACCACCAACCTGGCACCAAGTATCCAAAGGCCCGGGAGACTATGGGGGAGCATTCCTCAACTGAACCACCACAGCACACTAAAATTAAACAAGTTAAGGTGCCTAAGCTATCCATGTGCACGTATGCTCACATATGCAGATGTGTTTATGTTCACATGTACAGGTACACGTGTATGTGGGCAAGTATGTGTGGAGACCAGGGGTCAACCAAAGTTGGTGTTCCTCAGGATGTTTCTCTCAACTGTCCTTGAACTCATGACTCTACCTCTGCTTGCCCAGTACTCTATTACAAGCAGACACCACCATGCCTAGGTTTTATGTGGGTTCTCGGGGTGAAACTCCAGGTTCTCATGCTTTCAACCATCCTCCAAGGCCTGTGAGGTTATTCTTAAGAGATGAATGCCTCCTTACCTCTTCCTGGATCCATGTGCCCCTCCCATCTTCACTTCAGATGGGAAGTAGTTCCATCAGTGTGGGGACTGGGTAGTCTGATAGAAGCATCTACTTAATCACTTAGCACCATACAGGACTGTGGCCCTTCTGCAGCTCCCAGACCTAAGCACCTTTCACTCCTTCCTCATTAATAAGAACCATATGCAAGGTCCGCCACAGTGTGATTCTCCCATGCACCATGCCTCAGAGCCACTGTTGGCTGGTGAAGGAATTCCATCTCGATGCACTGTCACTGTGTTGAGGATCTCACCTTGGCCTGATGGAACACTTCTTCTGGGGGAATGAAAGAACACACAGGTGTCTCTGTATACTTTGGGAACCATGGTGAATGAAATCTCAGCTGCCTAATGGTATGGCATTTAGCATCTGATTTGCTCATGTGTATTGCCTTTAAGAACAACCAGAAAAGTCCTGAGTCTGTCATAGAAATATTCATACTAACCATTTTTGCAGGCATGACTTAAGATCTGACAAATGGCTGAATCGAAGGTTGTCAGTATTTTCACTGAATACTGAGAAATATCTAATTTGTACAGGTTTGACTAAAGTAATTTGTTCTATAAAGATAAACACTCACTAGAACAGTTATCTACTATTATACAAAAATACAGATATAACAATGGCAACCATTAGCATAATTTGGGCTAGTCAGGAGTTTATTCAGGTCTAAGGAGACAGGTTTGCATAAACTGTCTCCCGTGTGATGGCCATCAGGAGTCATCAACTACAAATCAGAGCAGTGTTTGTGTGGGTCACTCTTCCATTGTGATAAAATACCCCCAATAAACCCATGTACATGGAAGGAAAGGTTATATCAACTCACGTTTCCTGTGTTTGGGTGTGTGATCACTCTTTTTTGGAGTTCTGAGGCCTGTGGTGAGGCAATGCATGAGGTGGGCATGTTGGAGGAAGATACTCACATCCTAGCAGGTTTGAAGCAAAAGAAAAGGGCCATGCTCCAAGATTCTCCTCAGCAGCATGCCCCCATCAGCTGAGTAACCTCTACCAGGTAATGATCTTCAAGGTTTCACTGCTTCCCAGTGCTACCAAGGCTGAGAACCATGCTCAGGGTCTGTGGGTCGGAGGGACATACATGTGCTGATCTATGCTTCCACCAAATAATTCATAAAAAAACAACATTAAAAACCCTCCAGGGTTTCTAGATATAAAATGAACAATCAGACCACAACCCATAGAGCCATAGAGGCTATATATATAGCATGGAGGTCCCTAGGATGACTGTGGCATATAAT